ATATTCGATCTCCTTCTTATCCGATGTAAGAAGCCCCAAAATGTCTTTTTGTGTATCCAAAGACAAAGTAAAGTACGGAATTGACGTAAGAGGGCTTGAAACGGAAAGCCATGGAGAGGCCTCTAGTGGAGAAAACACCCTTGATTGCGGTGCAAGGAAGCTAATTTTGCTGGAAATCCTTTTCGAATCGTATAAATCTGATACGCGTATGGAAGCACGAAACTTGGCAATCGGCCAAAAATATGCTCGAGCTTTGTATAGCATAGTTTTCGCCTTTTCAACATACGACGAATGATCGTAGCTTGATATTTCAGGATGCCCAATGAACTGGATCAAGAGATTACCGGGGTGTAAATCTGCATGAGAAAAATTGTCCAATAAAAGCATTTTCAAAAACGAAGCAAAAACCGTTGAAATTATTTGGTCGCTCATATGGCTGATGACGATAGAGTTGTTCTGATGCTCGGCCGATGGGTAAAGGGCATCGATGGAAAGCCCGATTTCTAAACTTTCCACAAGAACATCGCACGACACGTATGGATATATCGGAATAGGAAATGAGACTTTATCTTCGCATCCATAGAAATTTGCCCGGAAAACATCTAGATTTCGGGCCTCGATTCGTAGGTCAGCTTGGCCCCTGAATGATTTGGAAAGATGCGAAATTTCCTGTCTCAATCCAACCCAACGAAGAGCCGGAAAGAGGGCATCAAGCACGGTAGCGACTAATTTAAGTAGTGCCAAATCAACGTCAAGAAAAAAATGAACGTTTGGATGGATAATTTTGACTGCAACGGGAGTGCTCTTTTCGTCATTCAAGATAGCCCTATGAACCTATCATAAAAAATAGGGCAAGAACCTGAGCAATACTTCCTGAGCCACAGGGCGTTTCTTCAAAATAGGAAAAGATTTCGTATGGATCTTTGGAGAAAGACCTTTTCAATATGTCCATAGAATCTTGAATCGAATGTACTGGGGAGTGGTGGTGGAATATCTTAATTGCAGATAGCAATGTTGATGGAATTAAATCCGGCCGTGTAGACGCCCATTGACTGAGCTTAATCCACGTTGGGCCCAATAAGCAGACTGTTTTGACCAAAATCGAAATCGAGATGTTAGAAACCGTAAAAAACAGCGATTCTGGAAGCACTAAATACAAGCAGGAAAGAAGCGCCCCGCTAGGAACAAAAAGCACAGATATAGAGAACAGCTGAAGAAATCGGAGAAAAACATCGATGCAGAATCCAAATCCGGCTGAAAAATCGGGCCGGTTACATTTTACTGTTCGAGATGGGAGGATGTGGCAAAGCAGTCCCTTCGAGTGCAGCTTTTTTGGAACAAGAGATGGGATCGATGGGATCCTCAAGAATTCGTTTGAATAAATCCTATTGATCACTAGGGGAATGAAATTTGATATCCTCGGAAATTTAAAACCCATCAAAATTTTAAATTACAATGGGAGTTGTATACAAATTTTCCTGGTCACATCAAAGAATATGTTGGGCAGCCAATTGGGTTGGATGAAAAATATTTTTTTGGAGCCCGAATGAATTTAAACTTTGTAGTTTACATTTACATTTATCGAGTATGAATTACCTGAAAGAATACTTTGATAGTACTGGTATTTCTTTTGATTTTAGTTTTGCCGTTAATCACCAAGCAGGTTCAACAGGATTATGAGCAAATATCAATCCTCAATGGATACTCGGAAGGTTTTCGATCGCTTCCTTTCTTCTAGATCGCGAAAGCAAGATAAAAATCGTGCTGGACTCCCTAGCTGATTCAAATATCAATTCCCAAGATGAGAAAACAAAGCTATTGATGGCTCTTGATAGCAATTTGGCCGAGGCATGTTCGTTTGCCAAAGAAAAGATCTTGATTGCAACTAGTTGCTATGATTATGTATTTCCCGCCTTCATACCAACTCCTAGGTTGACAAGCAGGTCCGGAGGCTGGATTCTGACCTTGAAAAATTTGACTCTGCCCTATTAAGATACAAATCCTCCAAGGGTTTGCTTGACCCGTAATTTTAATTTAGGCAAAGACCAATCACAGATCCTTGGGCCTTCCAATCAGGACCAGCACCAATTTAACAAGCTTGGGCTAAAGCATGAAAACCAGGCGCCGTTCGCCATGATACCTGGCGAAGATGGCTGCGATACCATCCATCCATCAAACGGAAAAATGTCTGCAAACGAGTTTCCCATAGACCCTAATGAGCCAACGTACTGCTTTTGTAAACAGGTTGCATTTGGAGAAATGATTGCCTGCGACAACGATGATGTATCTATATTTTCTCAATGTAGTGCGATATCAAATGGTTTCACTTTGAGTGTGTTAATATGAAGACGCTTCCAAAGGGGGTTTGGTACTGCTTTGAATGCGAGTCTCTCGAAAATCAGTCAAAACCCGGATCTTTAGGGTCATCTCTGCCCAATAGACGGGTGAAGAATGTCCCAATTAGGAAATGACGCACCACCTGTATTTTATGAGAACCAAAATAAATTTTCCGTTGTTTAGTTGGGATTTTACTTGTTAATGAATAAAAAAAGCCGATCTGAAGCGAGAAATGCATCTTTCGATTCCCTCTTCTTCATATTCTGCCCGACTGATCCAAGAGTCAACGGAACCATGTGACTTGGATGCCCACTTTGCGGCGCCTCTCCATGGACTATTAAAGAGGGTATTTGAGGCACTAATATCGTCCAAAGAGGGCTCTTTGAATTGCGGAGATAAAATGTTCAGAATGCTACTTGATGGTCTCATCGATCTGAGTCCGTTGAATAATCTTTTCGGAAAGCCTGGGAATGCGACATTACCGCCTGTCAGGAATACCTCCTAGAGCGATTATAAATATGGCCCATACCTCTCTCTTTGTAATATCATGCTCTTTCGATATATGTGCAAATGTTTCATTCAAAGTCTCAACGATCCCCATTGAGCCAAGGCCGATAATTGATGGCTGAAAGAGAATTTCGGGCACCCTAATTCTTTCAATATTAATATGGAGCTGATAGGGAAGGCTTGATAGCCGGTTTTGAGTATCATTGGAGTCGCCCTCTCGCTCTGAAGCCTCTTCTATTCCATATGTAAAGTGGTCAATGAAAGAGGCTTTTTTTTCTTCCTGTTCAAGATTCCAAAAGTTGGGATCATGATGCGATAAAAGCTCATCAATGCGGTCAATTTCATTTTCGAGCCTTTCCAAATCTTCAAACGAATCATCTGAAGTCCCGGGTGCTTTATTTAGCTCCCTGTATATTGACCAATCCGATTCATTATCCCCGAACATTGGATCATCATCCATTGGCGATTTATCTTTACGAGTGTCCTGTCCTGCTTTCCTTTTTTTCTTCAACGATGCATTTTCGTCATTGAAATCTGACGAAGAGGGTCTGCCATTGACAAGCGTAGAGAGGGATTTTATTCTTCGGATGGAAGAACTGCTTTTTCGATCAGAAAGGCCATCCCTCTCCTGTTTTAGCTGCTTTAGCTTTGATTTTAGCTGCGATCTTAAGGCTCTTTTTTCAGCGATCCATTTTTCCGGATCTGCCTCCCTTCTCATATTTTCTTTAAGCTCTTCTTTTTCCTGAAATAAACTGATTTAGCATACCTTTGCACGGTCTTCATCCTCTTTCTCTAGCCTTGCTCTCTCTCGAGCATCAAAGCCAGCCTTAAGAAGCCTAAGCTTGCGCTTTTCTTTTATTTTTTCTTCTGAGAGGTCTGCATCCGGTATTTCAAGAATAGAGTAATCATATTTTACAGTCTCTTTTTGGGAAGAATCTTTTCCATAAACAAGTTTATCAAGACGCGTTTCAAAATCAAGGATTACCTGCTCCAGGTCCGAAATGGAAGAGTATCCGTAATCTTTCAGCATTTCAAGATAGTCATCTTCGGTTTCATACTCTGCCCTAGTGGCTTGCATTTCGCGCAATCCAACGAGATCTGATTTCAATGCTACGATTTTCTCTTGCTTTCTTTTTTCCGAATGCAGCTTCATCTTTTCCGAAAAGGCCTTTTTCCGTTCTTCCAAGAGCTTACTCTGATCTTCGTCAGGTACCGAGGAATAAGAACTTTCCGGAATTGGGTATTGTATGACACAATCTTTGTCGTTCAAAAAAGAGGCAGAGTCCCTAAAAGATCGTAATTCGGAAGTATAATGTTCAGAAACATAACAAAAGTTTCTTACGCTCGCCTACAATTATTGGCGCCGTGATTTACCTCTGCATGTGATAGTGACATTTTTGTGGGGAAATACGGATATTTAAGCTGCATCAGACGAAGCATAAATGAAGAATGTGTGCTAAATCCAATCGGAATTCTGAAAATAAAAATCACCAAAGCAACCTTCTAACAAATTCCTTGCAAACAGCGCCGTCTATTACCGGGATCACGGCGCC